CGCCTAGCAACGCTTAGCTCAGCAATGTCCCATACCAAAGGGGTATGTAACAGAACGAAGACAGTTTTTATTAGTTTTTATTTTGAAAAGTTACGATCACAAGTTAATGGTCATTCAACTATAAAAAAATCCTTTAGCACTCGCTAAAATTAGCCAAAAGTAAATAAAAGTGACTGTGTGAGATAATATGTGTACAATGTTATAATTATATTTAATGGCTATCTATCTCGCTCTAACTCTTTTTCTGTGTACAGAACCGGATGCTAATACCCTGAGAGTCTCCTAGCCGGATCAGTGGAGCTTGAGGCGATAATCCTTGCATTGTTATATCATTGCAGCAAGGAGCAGGACCTGACATTCACTCTGGTCTCATCTTCGTCCAAATCCCGTCTGAGGGCCTTATACGAAGTGAAATAAGCAACATGGATGACCTAGCGTAGCGCACTCCAGAATTCTGGATTTAAAGACCCATCATGGAGGATTGGGTTAAGCGATAGCATGTCAGCCTCTCATATCGGCTGATACAGCTACTGACCGGCTACGGCTATATCGGAAAGGCCGGGAGTGAACGTCTGTGTGCCATCATTGTGTAATACTACACTCCCGTCTTTAGTGGAGTGTTCAGCATGGACGCAACATTAGTCCAATCTCACGGTGGCTATTGGCATAGGAAGCCTCTCGCTAGACCATATTTCTGCTTATTGTCCAAGGTGGGAGTGCGTGAGAGAGGAAATGATGTTCACTTAAAAGGCGGTTAGAAAGGAATGGGGGAGGAGTACTCTCCGAAGAAGTAGCACCAGGGGCCGGAGAGCACATAATGAACTCCGGCCTCCATGAGCTCGGGCCTCCCGAGTAGAAGCAGGCCCGAGATGTTAGCGCAACGTGTGTCATGCGCGCCCCTCTAAACTGAAAGGATGGCATACCTTTGTCCTCAATAGTGTATCTGCCCCTTGTCTCCTTGCAATAGACTTACATATGCAGCTAAATATTGCCGTAAAACTAGCCCAACCTGTAATCACTGTGGAGAGTCCGGGAACTCTTTTAAAGGTTGTTACAACAAATCTACACTACCTTCTTGTGCGACGTGGTCAGGTTCAAACGGAAAAGTGATCACCAAACTGTTGATGCAACTTGCCCAGCGCGGAAATATGCTGAGGATATATATTTAAATTCTATAGACTATGAGGGCGTCTAAGAGTGCAATTGATTATTTTAGCGGAAGCACTTAAACCTATTTATATTTATATTTATAATGACTAATCAGTAGCACTGTGATCTAGATCATTTTATGTGTCTGAAGTTAAATATTATGAAGTCAAAAAGAATATGTGCCGACTACTGACACTTTAATCAAAAATAATTGTAGTGTTTCTTAAGACATTAAATTTTATTCTTAGGACCTTTCTTATGTAATAAAATTAGTCAGATACTAAATATATCCAGCGTAAATAATAAACTTAAATTAAGCGGAAATGGAAATTAGGCTAGAAATTGATAATACATATATTTGTGATTTGCTTTTGCACGTTTACACTATGTAGTATTCTTATGTTCTTTATTATTCTGTTATTGTCGTTTTACATTAAATTCTAAATAAAATTTGTTTAAAACTCTAAGTAAGATAAAAAATCCCATACATTGACGGGACACCCTAGTGATCATGTTAATTTAACTATGCAGACACAGAAAATGTATTGGCAATTGTTAAATGAGTCTTAAATAGTTTCTGTATAATATTATTTTCTATTATTTCCTTTCGTACGTGTACACTTTGTAGTATTTTTTATATTTTCTAGTGATCTGTTATGTTTATCTTACATTTCTACCTTAACAATTCTATGTCCTCAATAGTGTATCTGCCCCTTGTCTCCTTGCAATAGACTTACATATGCAGCTAAATATTGCCGTAAAACTAGCCCAACCTGTAATCACTGTGGAGAGTCCGGGAACTCTTTTAAAGGTTGTTACAACAAATCTACACTACCTTCTTGTGCGACGTGGTCAGGTTCAAACGGAAAAGTGATCACCAAACTGTTGATGCAACTTGCCCAGCGCGGAAATATGCTGAGGATATATATTTAAATTCTATAGACTATGAGGGCGTCTAAGAGCGCAATTGATTATTTTAGCGGAAGCACTTAAACCTATTTATATTTATATTTATAATGACTAATCAGTAGCACTGTGATCTAGATCATTTTATGTGTCTGAAGTTAAATATTATGAAGTCAAAAAGAATATGTGCCGACTACTGACACTTTAATCAAAAATAATTGTAGTGTTTCTTAAGACATTAAATTTTATTCTTAGGACCTTTCTTATGTAATAAAATTAGTCAGATACTAAATATATCCAGCGTAAATAATAAACTTAAATTAAGCGGAAATGGAAATTAGGCTAGAAATTGATAATACATATATTTGTGATTTGCTTTTGCACGTTTACACTATGTAGTATTCTTATGTTCTTTATTATTCTGTTATTGTCGTTTTACATTAAATTCTAAATAAAATTTGTTTAAAACTCTAAGTAAGATAAAAAATCCCATACATTGACGGGACACCCTAGTGATCATGTTAATTTAACTATGCAGACACAGAAAATGTATTGGCAATTGTTAAATGAGTCTTAAATAGTTTCTGTATAATATTATTTTCTATTATTTCCTTTCGTACGTGTACACTTTGTAGTATTTTTTATATTTTCTAGTGATCTGTTATGTTTATCTTACATTTCTACCTTAACAATTCTATGTCAAGCGATCGCCTGAAACACAGGTTTACCCTAGTTCAGGCAGGCAGTGACTAAAGTTTTTAACAAAATCGCAATATCTTTATGTGTAGAAAATCATAAATAACACTACTATAGATTTACGTTAGTGTAACTTAGTCTAATTATTGTCTAAGATCTATGTTAAACTGAAATGTCCTACACTGTAATATGTATATTGGTCAAATAAAAATTATTATTATTATTCTCTTTATTAAATTATATATACATATTAATAACATTTTTAAATATATTACAAAAGAAATAAAAATACATTTAAAAATATAAAAAATAGTAGACCACCGACATCGGGTACAGGTACCAAGACACCAGTGGTTAGGACTGCAAAGATAGGAACCTCCTCACTATACGAGCCGTGTCAAGGAGGACTGCCTTCTGTATCAGACCCTTGATCCAGCCGTCCAACGTGAGCCTCTTAAGGTGTTGGTCGAGGCTCTTGGCTATCAATCCGCGAGCAGATACGACTATCGGAACAATTATCACTGAATCGACATTCCACATATCGACAATCTCGTGAGATAAATCCAAATATTTTATTTGTTTTTCTTTTTCAACTTTCACGAGATTCTCGTCATGAGGTACGGCGATATCAACAATAATTGCGCGGCGCTCTAATCGATCTATCACTACAATATCAGGCTTATTAGCAACAATAGTCCTGTCTGTGATAATAGATCGATCCCAATACAACGTGGCCCGACCATTCTCGAGAACTGGGTCGGGCACATACCTGTAGTATGGCACCTCTAGATTCACAAGATGGTATTTAAGGGCAAGCTGTTGGTGTACAATCCTGGCTACTTGGTTGTGCCTATGCAAATATTCACCGTTAGCAAGACGAGAACAACCAGAAATGATATGCCTGATTGATTCCCCAGGACGGTGGCATGCCCGACAGATGTCAACCGTACCATCTTTCAGGATATATTTCCGATAGTTATTTGTCATGATAACTTCGTCCATAATCGCACAAACAAAACCTTCAGTTTCTCCGAAGAGATCACCATACCGTAGCCAAGTCGTAGATGCTTTAAAGTCTATATCGAACCCGTTTAGGGCCCGATAAAACCGGCATTATTATTATTATTATTAATTAATCCATAGGTAAATATGACTATTGGTACAACGATTGCCAAATCAAAATCCCACATTTGGCAGTCTCGTAAGTCAAATTCAAATACTTTACCTGTTTATCTTTTTCAGCTTTCAAGAGATTGTCGTCATGTGGAATGGTAATGTCAACAATCACTATTGGCACTGCTCGGCGCTCTGGCCACTTGGTTATGTCTATGCAAGTACTCGCCGTTGGCAAGACGAGAACAACCGGAAATTATATGTCTGAGGCTTTCACCAGGACAATGACATGCCTGACAAATATCTATTGTGCAGCCCTTCAGGATATACTTCCGATAATTATTCGTCATAACAACTTCATCACCAATTGCAAAGACAAAACCTCCAGTTTCTCCGAAGAGGTCACCGAATCGTAGCCAGAATACAGACGCCAATTGGCCTACCTCAGGCCTGTTCAAGGCCCGATAAAAATGTCCATGCAGCTCTATACCCTTCCATTCCATTCTCCTCACGATCAGTAATGCTGAGTACTGCAAATTTGCGCCAGTTCTCTTTACCTAGACCAAGCGGAGTGAGTCCGTTATCAAATGCTACTACATCTCCATGCATACCTACATTAACAGAAAGGAAGTAATTCCTAAGGTTACATATCTCACGATTATGGAGGGTCCTGACATTTAGAAAACCACGACCACCACAACACCAATTTATTATTATTAAAAATATTATATGACATAATACCGTGACATCTTAGATCGATTCCGACAAACCACTTCACCGTGAGTCCGGTAAGGTGATGACTAGTGGGGGTTTTCACAATAAAATAATATCCAGACTATGTGACTATTCCTGAGAGCCTTCAGCGTTAACGCTCTCTTCTACTTCGCGCTCTTCATAACAAAACCAATGCATGACAAATACCCTTTCTGAACGCAGCCACTGAATCAGACAGAAATTCATTCAACTTAGAGTTTAAAATGTTGATGTTTTGTATTTGACGTATCTGTCATCTTAAGTCATTTTCCTTAGTCATTGTGTGACAGTTGGGTTATGAAAGTACGACAACATAATAGGATTTTTAAAGAAATATTATAAGGAAAGTTTGTGCTTAGGTTATTACGTTTTACAAATAAATTATGGCACATAATCATTGTCATGGTCATCATGATCACGACCATAGCGATGCCGAAGACATTGGCATCCAGTATAACCTTTACCAAAAAATTGATAAGGAGAATTTGCAATGTTTAAATGAAAGTGTTGAAGGTTCTGGCAAAACTGTCTTTAAACCGTGGGAGAAACGTCTTGATAGATCTCAAGTTAGTGTTCCTTTATATATAATCCCTTTATAAATAAAAAGAGTTATTTTAAATTAACAGCATTGAATATTTGTGAGAAAATTGTGAGAAGCTTTTGATCTAGCTACAGTCTTAACAAAAATAAATAAATCATATTCTTTGTTAAGGCTGTAGCTTAATCGTTAGCTAAGTCTTTGAGTTGTCCACCAAGAGATATTTAATTGGAATTCTGCCTAGAGCCGTTGAGCATAAACCACTCCCAGCACAAACATTTTGCATAGTTGGAAGAATTATATTTTTCTGTAAGAAAAGTCTCAGTAGCGAAAAACGAGTGCACCCGAGTAAAAAGTTAGACCACCATTGAAATCTTACTTACCTAAGAAGTCTGGTAAATAAAAAAGGCTCCAGGAAATGCCTTAACCACAACTTAAATCCTAGGATAGCTGCCTAGAAAAGCTATAGTCTTTATAATGCCCCCTTTAATGTTATTCAAAAGTCTTTGAGAGAGTAGTTGTGTTAACATAATTACTTACACATAATTGTAGATTCAGTATATATAGAACAAGTATAATCATAGAAGTATGAAAAATATACAAAAAAAAATTATCAATTAATTTTTTTATATATTTATATTCAAAAAAATATTTACTTTTATTATAGAGATAAGCCAAAAGTGTGTTCTTCATTTTACATGTGCAATAAATTCTTAGCTCAAGGTTTTGTCATTTTGGAGGCTGCTGTTTACTGCGGGGTTTATAAAGGGTGCAAAAGAGGTACAAAAATGTGACTACAGTCATATTAATTGATCTTGAAATATGTTTTCAATATAAATTAACAGTGAAGTAAGCCTGAAGGTAGTATTTAAACTTTAGATATTAGAGGCAGGCTTAGACAGCAGGTCAGCAGTAGACATTCTAAGGCTGTGTGGCGACTTTAACATAGAATGAAATTTATACTTCAATTCAATTTGTCACGAATACCCTGAATAAAAGCTCTTGCGCAGATTACTACATTGTAACCTTATTATAAGGAGCTTTAATATAACAAATTTCTCATTTTAACGAATTTTTCAAAATCCCCTAGAAACATCCATAAGAGCTAATGCAAAATATACCTTTACATTACGAATATATATACCAAAAACCCTTTTTAAAGAATTTTTAATCATTGCAAAGAATAGATAAACATTTATTGACCTCTATTTAACGATTTTTTCAACCCATAACCTTTAAATAATGTATCCTATCAACTTTTCCCAATTCCCAGTTAATTGTACATTGTACAATAGTAATTCATGTTTCGACACGTTAAATTCTTCGAATTTGATGCTTCTTCTTGTTTGATTTGATGGTCAGTAAAGTAAACACTGCTGTTTGTGATTGTTGTTAGTCTTAAAGTTGCAATGGCTGAGAAACGAAAAAGGTGTTCCTTAAGTGTCGCACGGAATCAAAAAATAATTAAGTATGTAGACGAGAAACCTACAATGAAAAAAACAAAAAGCTTAAACAAAATGAAGACTAAGCTACCAAAATACCATTGTTGATTTTCTGTTTATATGGATGTGTATGCGAATATTGATTGTGACTTATTTTTCTCAGAAAATTATGTAGGTACTCTTTTCAAATATATATTTTTTCGTTTAAGAATAACTTCATTTACCTTTAAGTGGAAATTGTTCGCTTTATCAAGGTAAGCAGATGAGCATCTACATAATTTTGAGGTTAATGAACAAGGTTTTTTAAATTGTTAAAACGAATCGTAGTCCAATCTAACCTCTATACAACAAACCCCATTGTAACAAATTACGCGGTATAACGAATAATTTTTAATTCCCTTGAGCTTCTTCTTTTTTAAAAGACAACGCCCGCATTAGGAATATATTGTGCCGCGGAGGACTATACAAATATACATAAAACAGACACAAAGAACACCCAGACTCAGAACAACAATTTGTGAATCGTGTGAATCACACAAAGTTTCGTCCGATGTGGGGTTTGAACCCACAACACTCAGCGTAGCGGCTTGGCGACCGCTTAAACCACTACGCCGCTTAAGCCACTAATCCGTGCTGTCACATTACTTCCAAACATCAACTGTTAGGCCCTGGCCCGCCTGGTCTGAGAATCCACCTATAGGAGAGTATGTCCTCTTTCACAAAGGAATTATGTTAGATTAGAGGGACACCTGTCCCTCTACTGATAAAGTGATAATAATGAAGCAAAGGTCTATGTCAGACAATATCCAACTCTCTTAAAGCTTGTATTATATGATTATCCACTAACCTAAAATATTTTTTCCTACCTACCTTGTATAAATGAAATACTGATTGACACAAATTTTATTTTTGTTTTTTAGTATGTTGAAAGTGACGCAGATGAAGAATTACTATTTAATATACCTTTCACAGGAAATGTGAAGCTTAAAGGAATAAAAATATCTGCAGAAGACACTGACTGCCATCCTGCTGTGTTAAGATTGTGAGTAAAGAATTTTAGATATTTTTTAAATTATTGCACTGCCCCTGAAATCTTATATGTATGTATAAAGAATGTATAAATATTAATAATAATATCGCTTTAATGTACACCAGGTATAAATATACATTACTTAATTAACTTAAATTAGGTTAGACAAGTACAAGTGGCGGCCTTATCGCTCAGAGGCAATCTCTTACAGGCACCGTGGTATGGAGAGAACATGAAGGGGAAGAGGTATAGGGTAGTGGCTGGTGTGTTAGGAAATATATAAGAGGAAATCTAAGTAGTATACATATGTATAAATATAAAATAATAGTTACACATTGTATCTATTTGTTGTACTTTGGTGAGTATGACGTCCTAGAGTGAATATACGTTATGCAGAACAAGGCTAGTGGTGTTATTAGATAAATATAATTAAATAAATACGTGTGATTTATAACTACTAAATACATAAATTCTATGAAACCTTATTGAGTTAGTAGAAAGTTAATAACTTATGGGACATTGTTGTTCTGAGTCTGGGTGTTCTTTGTGTTCGTTTCATTTATGATTGTAAAGTCCCCAGGTTGAAACCGCAGCCCACGTGAAGATTACAGTGTTCAGAGTGAGTTTGCCCTCACACTACACCCTCTCATGACAATCTAATTCATATTTCCATACCTAAATTATAAATGTGAAAGTGAGTTTGTTTGTGTTGTTGTTTTAAACAATGTTTTATACAACTCAATTGTTGTAAACAACAATTAAAAAAAAACACAAATGGAAAGCTACATTCGCAGCGATTTTTACCACGAAAACCGACATACACGCAGGCGGAGCCGCGGGCAAAAGCTTGTTAAATACAATTATTCTGTATCATTGCAAATCCAAGATGCGAAGATAGCGGATTAAGTATATATTAAATGATGCTGTACACTTGTTTTCCGGCAATCCCCTCAGATACTTCCACCTTGGGGTGATTCGATCATCGTCCGGTTTATGGGTCTTGTAGTAAGTGTAGACACAAGAAAAGCAAACAGTTTTCATAGTTGACGTTTTCTTCTAGATTTAAAAATAAACCCAATATGACATTTGATGACGTAACGATGGAACCGGATCAAGTTTTTCAACTTCAAAAGGATAGTGCAGGAGTTTTAGAGTATGCACCAAAGTAAGTGTTATTTGAAGCAAAACATAAACTGAGGTATTATTTGATAAAGCTAGTAAAGCAGTAGTGTATATAGAATGTATGTTTTTTTTTCAGAATAGTCACATTTTCGTCAGTTACCCATTTGACAATGCATTTTCCATCCAATTTCGGTGCAGATACAACAAAAATTGATTATATTGGACTAAAGGGGGAGTGGACTCAGGGGCACAGACATGGAGTTACCATTTGCACTTACGAAGTTAGACCTAATCTTGATGATCATAAATTAAAAAATGAAGATTCTGTATCCCGACAAATTGAATAATTACTCTTGATAAGTCTGAAACTTGTATTTCTCGTGATAACAATATTTACAAATGAAACGAATTACTCAAATGTAAATATTTCCTATGCAAAATATGTAACTTAAATTTATGTTTATTGTCAAAGTTCCATATTAAGCTGATAAATAAATGTTTTTAGTCCATATCGTAGTTTTTTGAAACACTTTTATTTTCTTTGTTTTTATGTTAGAGGGGGCAGACGCGCAGACGGGTCACCTGATGAAAAGTGACTATCGCCGCCCATGAACGTCTGCAACTCAGGAGTCACAAACTTATGGTTTTGATAACAATTTCGATACATCGCAATTCTATAAGTTTGTATAAGTTTATAGTTTAATGCGTTGCCACTGATAAATAGTTGATTATATACGAAACTATTAAAAATAAGTTTCTCGCACGTAACCGTGGTTTCGTGAAAAGAAAAAAATCCTGGTCCTCGATTTTGTAGTACAATACTTTTACACTTATTTGAACATAAAGGTGGCTCCTCAATCAAAATATTTGGATTAAGGAGCCACGTCAAAAATACAAATGTATTTGGATGTATGTTTATCAAAATTTTGTATGATTTTGTAGTATTTGAGAGTAGTTAAGTAGTAGGCAAAATCCGAGCTATGTAATGCTCAAATTAAAAAAGTTACCACACATTATACAGCGTCTGATCTATCTTTTAACGAATCTGTGTGCCAAGTGCGAGTTCTCAAAAAATGCTCGCATCACTTTGTCACCGTGAACAACGAGTAAACTTTACGAACGTCGAGAACCGAAGGAAGGTGAGTGTGAGTTAAAGTGAAGCTAACCGTTCGACAGGCGTTTACTCACCGTGAATGGTGAATTACTATTTTAGTTAAGTTGGTACTACTTGACATCGTGTGATAAATTAAACTGTCGAAATTCAATAAAAAAAAAATGTAGTTTTATTAAATCAAATATGATAGGAAAAAATAACATTTCTATGTTTTTCATTTGAGAAAAACAAATAAATTTTAAATTAATTTCAGAAAAACAGTTTGATTTGTCAAATTTGGCCGCCATATTTGGTTGTCTTGTCACTTGTCAGACAAAAACTGTTTTCAAAAGACATTATAAAGAAAGAATTTGTGATCTTTTGTTGTTATTTTACTTGTATACATACCAAAATGAAGACAAGTTCATCACAATTTGAGTTAATGGTAACGTTTATGGAGCAGTAAGTAGAATTTACGTGATAGTGTTTAATAAACATAAAATGAAGTTCAGTAAACAAGACTTATTAATTTTATTGCTTTTTAGGCATGGAGATCTAAGCAAACTTTTAAGTAATGCAAGAGGCAGAGTAAGTAATTTCCAAAAATGGGAGGAATTAACCCGACTTTTAAACAGTGATGGCAGTGGATGTACAAAGACCACTGAAAAGTGGAAAAAAGTTTGTATAAATGTTTATACTACCTATTTTGGTTTAAAGCATGTTGTGATTATTTTATTTTGTATGCTTCTTTGCAGGGTTTTAGGTATGGAGCGATTATAAAAACAACACCAAAAAAAAAGCTGCACGCTTGCATCGATCGGCTAATGCAACTGGTGGTGGGCCTGCTATGTTTAGCAAGCTATCAGATTTCGAGCAGAGAGTCTTAAAAATTACTGGTGTGCAAGCAGCCACTGGCTTAGCAGTGGAGGAGGCTGGGTTACCCCAGGTTTTAACATCTCTCATTAATGCAGTTACTGTATTGTTTCACTTTATTGGTGTTTTATAAATTATATTTCTCTTACAGGTGATTAACACTCACCTGGATAGTGTTGAGGATATTGTATCAACCCCACAACCACATCAATTTTTAGAAGGTTAATAATGATCATTGTATATCAACAGAATTAATCAATAAGTTTTAGTAGTATTTAGTTATGAAATATTTACATAGTTATCTGTATTTCAGTACCAATTGTGCCAGCATCACCACAACTAACAAGGGCTATATCTTCTCCTCCACATACATTTGTAGAGGAAGAAGTTCAAAGTAAGAAATTATTACTTTTATCTAGATAAATAAGAATTATTAGAAAAATAAATTAAGTTTTGGAACCATCTTACATTGCAGTAGGTATACTGTTTTATTCCTAAGTAATGACCTTTGTGTAAATGAAATAATTTTTGTATATGTATATTTTGTAAATTTTAGCTTCTCAATATTTGCATCAACCAGAGCAATCTGCTTCAGGCCAAACTCTACCGGAGTCTAGGCCTGCCACAACATCACATCTCTCTTATGTGGAGGTGCATGTGGAAGGTAAAAAACAAACGCCTGAAGACTTTCATCTGTATATATAACAGATGAAAGGTAGTTCTTTATTATATAATATATTATTATATGTTGATGACGACGAGTGAGGCCATCTCACACAGAGCAGGCAACACAGCATTTTCTGCAAGCCGAGGCATTTTGGCAGCAGTTTAAAGCTCAACAACACCAAGACTACATGGAATTGAGAAGGGAGCAAAACAGGATTAGGATAATGGAGGTAGAAACACAGAGACGGGCTCTAGATATACTAGATAAATTTGTTAATAAGTATTGTAAGGAATGATTTTTATTTTAATGACTTTGATTTTGGAGTTAAGACTGATTATTATTTAGGCTGATTTAATAAATAAGTATTATAAGGATTTTGTATATATTTTATGTATCTTCAATAAAGCAAAGACTGATTGTTAGACTGATTTAATAAATAAGTATTGTAAGGATTTTTACATATTTTAAGTATCTTCAATAAAGCAAAGACTGATTGTTAATTAGACTAGTTTAATAAATAAGTATTTTAAGGATTTTTACATATTTTAAGTATCTTCAATAAAGCAAAGACTGATTGTTAATAAAACGCTGTTTTACTAAATTTAACTTTAAACCTTAACAGCACATTCATATATATATCACACAGTATAAAATTACCCAGGATACATGAATTGGGAATATTACCTATTCTCATCATCAACAGCCTTTAATAGTCATTGGTGGATCTACGCTTTAAAAAGTTTTGGTCTACTATACCACACTGGCCAGACAGGTTGATATAGGGTTCGTGTCAAGTTTTCCTTCTTTTTGCACTGCTGTTGTTGTACTTACAATAAAATACAATTTAGTTAAGTAGTTGGGTATTAAAAGAAAATAATTAATTAACAAAACATTTATTGCAACCGTCTCACTAACTGATCTCTCAATATTCTTCCTCTAATTAAATCGGAAGTGGCTTCTTCTTTTATATAACTTCCTTCTGTATCTTCATTGATGTTTTCGTCCAGACCTATAAATATTACATAGTAAAGTTCACAGCACAGAATAATTTACAAAACCTACATTAAATATGAAACTACAATTCTTACCCATATCTTCATCTAGGGCCTCAATCCCAAAATCAATCATTAAATTATGTAGCACTGAGCATGCTAAAATAATTTTAGAGCATTTCAGTGGCCTGTAATGGAGGACTCTGTCTTTGTGCAAACAGCGCCACCGATTTTTCATTCTGGAGAAAGTATTCTCGATGACTACCCTAGCTCTCATATGTTTTTCATTATAAACACTATTGATTGAGCCAGAGGTAGCATCTAAAATTGGTGTCATTAACCATGGTCGTTGGGGATATCCTGAGTCTCCTACAAGAAAGTTATAAATTTTAATTGAAGTCATAAATATCAAGCAGATCAATACAACAATAATATTTTAGTGTATAGACATTAAAACTGTGCAATAACACTCCCAGCACCCTATTTTTGTTTAAGTGGAGCTTAGTTCTTGCAGGCCATAGTTCTTTGAGGTTCAAGTAATTCACACATTTTTTTATATTGTTTAACTGCTTCAGTGGACTGTAAAGCTATTTAAGCAATATTAAATCTGTATTAATAAGACCTATGTTTACCACCAGTCTTTAGATATTTTCCTTTATGTATATATCATTTACCTAAAAGCCAGACCATTTCGCCACCTTGGTGCAAATGTTGCATATAAGTGTTCAGTGAGCTATTTGCCCATATAAAAGAATCATGATTTGCACCTCCAAATTTGGAATTTACATTCAAAATTCTGTATTCATCATCGCATACCTAAAATCAAAACCATTATGTACTTCTCTCCTGACAATTTAATATAAACTAACAAATAATATAACATTCATATTTACCATTTGAACATTTAGAGAATGATAGTGCTTACGGCTATAATATAAATGCTCTTCTTCCTTTGGAGGAACAACTATTTTAAAATGGCTTAGATCTATGCATCCAACTACACCAGGAATTCCATATCTGCTGTAAAATCTATAGAAATTTACAAATTAATAGTTTTGCAATGAATTTTTTGATTTGCCTTATTTTGATTGAATATTAAATGTATTTCTACCGTTGACTAACTGCCTGCCTGGCAGCTTGAGTGCAGGGAAATTTAATAAATTTATTGATGATATTTTTATCATTCAATGCTTCGGTCACCTCTTGAATATATACACTGCACATTTTCTGTGATAAATGTTTTGCAACTCCTACCGGCCGTTGATAGGATCCAGTTGCAAAAAAAAATAGAGCAGTGAGCACCTGGAGATAAAATGATAATATAAAAACTAACAATGTATTGTCTTGATTTTATAAAATTCAATAATAAAAAACTTGTATTATAGGTATAGGTTTAATACGTACTTTATGTTCCAAAGACATACGTTGAGTGGACCTTAAATTAGTTGTGCGCCTTAGTTCTGCGCACAAGAACTTGAATGATTTTTTGGTAAGACGATATCGCTCTCTAAATTGTTTCTCCGTGAGATGTAGCAAAGGATCAAAAGACGCTCGAGCTCTTGCTTCCACACTTGTGTTAAAATTTCTATCATCTTGTGCCTTAGCGGCTGCAAACATCCTCCAGGCGAAAAAACGGCGACCGGTCATAATTGCAATATTAAATTAGTTTTAAAAACGTCGGTTTATTGTTCTCACTGAGCTTTCACTATGAAAATGTAGGTGACAACTTTTCACTTACTTTTGTGTTACGTTTCCGAATGTTTACGTGACTTATGTCAAAAAGTGTGGCTCGCACTCAGCCAAAACTTTGAATCAACCAATCACGTGAGTTGTCACACTCACTTTCGAGCCCAAGTCACTTTTCGATAAACGGCGTGAGGACGTAAAAACTTGCACTCACAAAAAATATTTCATAAACGTGCCGCTAGGAGGCGCTAATTTAATGTCATATAAATTAGAGTTTACTCGCTCGCAGGTGAGTAGGTGAGAAAACTCGCACTAAGCACTCAGGATGAAGGACACACAAGATGCGCTCACGACAAATTACCGTAATAAAACAAAAGTTTTGTTGTGTTAATAATTGTTTAGCCATTGCTTTCGTCATAATACACGGCAATGGTCTGAACAATTAAATAAAGACTTCGAAGAATAGTAGTAGTGACCTATGAGTATTTCGCCTTGAAATCTTCCTTTATTTGAATTGTTGCTGTACTATTTAATTTTAATCATAAATTTTCGTAAATGACACCATTATTTTTTATAATATTTACTTATCTCTTAATATACAGAAAGATTACCTTTAATGGGGGTTTATCTTCAAACTCGGATAAATCCAATTCTGAGAAATTCAACATTTTGGTACCGAAAGAGAATATAAAAAAGTTTTAAAACAATTTTGTCAGTTGTGTATAAGTCCGTAAGGACTTTGAGAAAAAAAACCTTTAAAATCGCAATATTTTATCAAAATCAGAAAAATCCATGATACAGTTTTTTTCATATGTATTTAAATCCATCCGAGCCAATCAGCGAATTGCGTTTGTTCAACATGGCTAGAGGCGGATTAAGAATCAAGAGCGCCCTAGGCAAGTATCTCATCGGCGCCGCATGGTTAATGTGTGATAGTGATGACTCCAACTTTTAGTTGTCATATCTGTACTAGAACTTTTGTTTTTTTACGTGGGGAAAAACCCCTATGAGCTGTCACCCCACCGAGGTTTGCGGTGGGGCGGTGTACCTGAAATAGAAGGGATCCGATAACAGTTTTTATTTAGACGTCCGGGCCTTTGTTTTTACGGGTGACAGAGGGCCTCACCTGTCACCCCCAGGCCTGCACTTATGCAGGGTGGAAGTCATTTAGCGACTGAGCCGCCTGCGGTACCGCAGCCGAGGTGCCAGGTACTGCAGGCGTTGGTTCCTTCAGGAGCATATTCAGTTAATCTCCTCCGCCAACCGGTACGAGAGGGTTTCATGTTGCCTCAAGATCTAATCCTCCATAACGAGTCTAAACTAAACTCACCCCTACAAACTTACTATGAGAGATGAGTTTGGATTGTACGGACGGTACTCTTAGGTCACTAATGTATAGATATAGTTTTACACTTAACATCTTAAACCTAAATGATCTCATCATCACGTTGAGTGTATAATACGTCATAGCTTTCAAAAATTAAAGTATTTTAGGAACATCATTACCTTCGAAACAAATGTTTTCAAAAGCAAAGCTTATGAAAATTAACGTTTTTAATAAACTAGTAAAAGACATTTACATTAATCATACTATGTGTATTCTTTTTAGGCTTTTTTTTTGTTTTCAACATAGATATTATTAAAAAAATTATGACTAAGTCATAGTTGAAATGCGATAATTCCATATCTCGAAAAAAATTACATCGTACTAATTACTTTAAATGTCACTAATCGATAACAGTTTTACAGATTTCTGTATGTTACTACATTAACTTACATACTTTTAAATTTAATTATGCCTCACCTCGCTGCTTCCCACTGCACTTGTTGAGAATTTGTTGTTCTAAGTCTGGGTGTTCTTTGTGTAATTTTCCTGTATGTTTGTAAAGACCCCCGCGATACGGGATATTTTCCTTTTTTTTCCGACTCCTTAGGGACGAAGGAGCCAGGAGTATGTAGTGTTTCTGCTAACAAACACCCTGAAAGCCGGTTTCAGGCGCGCTGCTCTGGGGAGGACCCGGAACTTGTTATTTCAGGTCCCGACCGAATACACGCCGCGCCTAGCCAGTCCCTATCCCGGGGAAAGCAGGCTTCCGCCCGCCTATCGGCCCTATCAATGTGTGTTGGGGCCGCCATCCTATCGCCTACCGTAGCAATTAATCTGTCACCCTCTGGTCCTGGCTCTCGATGCGTCCGATTTGGTCGACCAGGACCTTGCGTTCAGACGCGAGGCAGTCTTCCAGCGTATGCCATTCTCACCGAAGCAACCATGTCCGGTGAGTACCTGCGTCAGTCGGACAGGATATATTCCTAGTGCGGGAGTTATCATTCCTAGTGCGGGAATAAAAATTTCTAGTTACTTATAAAATTCTATATTCCTAGTGCGGGAGTTGTCATTATAAAAAAAAAAGACGCCTGGAATAAAAATTTCTAGTTACTTATAAAATTCGATTCTTCATATATTATAACGATTATTCGTATTCAAGAAGAACCGCAACACTAGGGACCTAACTACGTCACTTAGAAATGAAGTTAGAAATTTAAAAAAGCAACTATTGTGTATAAATTGCTTATTTTGCTTTGTTTTAAAAATTTTAATGTATTCATTTAGAATTGTATATCTTGCGCCAAAATAGAAATAGCTACATAACTTCATGGTTTTACGAAAAATGTTATTGAAATTGTGTAAGTTACGCCAATACAAATTTGTTTCGTCTTGAAAGCATAAAACGTCAAACAGTACCTCTTAGATTAGAAGGACTTTAAGGGGGGGGGGGGGGGGGGGTAAGGTCAAATCATACGAAAAAAGCCATGTTTTCGTGTTTTTTTTTCTGACGACGCAGTTAAAATTTCTTAACTCAACCAATGGTACATTGAAGTATGACATTCGAAGAATGTTTCATCAAATTTGTACAAAGAAATATTAAAAAATACGGCAATGGCAGCAATTGTTCGGACGTGTCTCGAAAAAAAGTTGAATTGCGGTGCCCCTCATAACTTGGTGCTGGATCATCTGAAATCAAAAAATCAAAGTTCATTCGTTAGATAATAGTTTTCCCCAGGTAACGCTGTCGAGTTTTTTTTTTCTATTATTTTTCATTTTTTCGAACACTTTGAAGTGAAAAACACAATTTTTTTGGGAAAAAGTCGGCTAATTTGTTATTGCGAAATCAAAATTATGAACAAAAGAAAAAAAAACTCGACAGCGTTACCTCGTAAATGATGTACAGAAATAGTGTTTAAAATTTCAAAAGGATCGGTGCAGTAGTTTTGAAGTTATCAGGGGCACCGACTTTGAAAACGTGACTTGTGGGAAAAACGCTTTAAAGTTTTAAACACAAAAAAATCCAGTTAAAACGTTTATAAGCGAATTTTATCGACATACCTCACACTGAGTCATCAATGCCAGGTCCATAGAGGATGTTGCTATCATCGATGATGTCTAATGCATCTTTTTGCTCCTTCCTACGACGAATCCTGACTTCTTTGGTTTGTCGTTCAGCTTCCTGCTCTGCTCGGCTTATGCGTGTGGAGTCAGTGGATCGCGCCCAGTCATGAGCGCTTGGTCCACTACTTTTCATGTCTAGCATGAAGGTGAGTAAAGCAAACGAACCTTCATTGAAGACACTGGCTCCCACATAAGCTGCAATTTCAACGACGACAGAGGTTCCACTCAAGTGCTTCGGTGAGATTTTCCAAATAAGTTGGTTCAAGCTCTCATTGTTGTTTTGCGTGAAGCCTCCGACACATCGCTCCAGCTCTTTGCTCAGATCAACGGTCATTTTTATTTTTTTAGCTGACGCGCTTCTTGTCGTAATGTCTTCGCTTTTTCGTTTGTGGGGAGGTAAAATTTTTTTGGGTCGATGTAATCTCGAACTAGCTGATTGTCAATTAGATCTTCGAATTTTTTTTTGCATTTTTTGTAATAATTTAATAACAAAAATTAATGAAAATGGAGCTGAAATTATGCGAAAATAAGAACGCGTGGATACGTCTGCTCGATAGGATATTTCCTGCTGACTGAATTTTGTACGCCACACTGACAAAGTATACAGACTAGGTATAAACACGTATGTCCTTGCCTTGAAATTTCGATAGATGGCACTGGGAGGTAAGGTACTACATAGAGAGCGAAACATCTGCCGGGTAACAATAGCGCGCTCGGGTCGGTTCGGGTATAGGTACAAAAATCCGGCAGGTATAAAAATACTCATAACTTCGTCAATTTTGCTGCAATTGACTTGAAATTTTGACACAATATTCTTCAGATATTACGGATTCAATTTCAAAAATAAAAAAAAAATTCAAAAAAAATAAATTAAATACCTTACCCCCCCCTTAATGTAATCAAGAAATAACCATAATCAGATACATTTATAACATTTGATTCTTTTGTAAAAGTATCGATATTTTAATTCTAATATTATTTAAAGTATCAATTCTTTGATACTTAAAATATCGCCATGGCCATGGCCAATTCGCCCTAGCCGTGGGTGAGCTGCTCACAACGGGAAAGAAGCCCACCCGTACTCCTATTGTAGTTTAATAAGGAGGGCATCAATATTTTCCAGTGTACGTCGCGCAGAAATCTCGATTATCGTGTTATCTTGTTACTAAAATATATCTAAGTAAGTTAAAAAAAAGAATAATATTTACTATCTTATCTTTCCATTATTTGTTTGAAATTATGTATTTTCGACCAAAGTAAAATTTTTTGAAAAACATTTTACTTATTATACTCATCCAAAAGGAGTGGCGCCCGGCGGCCTCACCATCCGCCTACCGGCCCATAGTGTTGCTTGACGAGGTTTGCACACCCTTTGAAAAAGTGATTGCAAGGCGTCTCGTCAAGCACGTTCATGGTGGGGCCGGATCTGGCGGACAACCCGTATGGTTTCCGTCAGGGGCGCTCCACCGTGGATACAATCATACGCGTGAAGGCTCTGGCGGAGGAAGCAGTTTCCCGGGGCGAAGTGGTGGTGTGTCCTTGGACTCCACGACTTGGCCTGGGTTACCCAAGTCGTGCCCAAGAACTGGGGACCGTGGCCTTTGTTGCGTCTGCATGGCAAGAATTTGCCCACATTTGCGCTGGGCAGGCGGGTTGGCGATCGCAGGGCGTAGCTCGTCGCACCGTTGACGCTGCTCCCCGTTACCGGCCTGTTGTATTTAGCTACGCCTATTGCGATGGATATACCACCATCGGTCGGTCGCCAGAGCCTTTTTCGTCGTTCAGCAGGATGCACCGCGAGCAGGTGATGTTAGCTTGGGACCAAAGATGGTGGTTCGCCCCCTCACATCCCATTTATAATTACTGACTCTTTACACTAGAAATTTAATATACTTACTACTAAATGATAAAGAAATTGCGGATCAATTGAAAGACTGCTCTTTGAAAAATGACAGTATGGTCTGAGGAGCCACATATACACTATGTGATGAAACATATCACAAAAAATGAAATATCAAATAACACGGTTCAATACAGAACACACGGTACGAAAATACAGAAATGCAAATTTAGAACAAAATAAATACAATAAAAAAATTGCCGAATTAGAACACCATAGATAACATGAGTCGGTGAACACTACATGGCAGCGTCGCAATGTCGGCGACATTAAAGCAACGCCGCCGCCGCGATGAGGCGGCGAACTTTCCATTCTTATTGCCTACCTACTAATCACTTCACTTGCTTTTTAAAATTTATTTAATAAAAACACGATTTTATTCACGTGTTTATTTTGGGATTTCTCGACTAGCTTCGGACCCGGCAGTACGTGTCACTACTTGAAAAAGTAGGTACTTTGGTTGTCTTGTAATCTTTGTACCGCCCTTACAAAAATTGGGCAGTCTGTAGGACATACACGATTGACTCCATACCTGTCCGTAAAGCTAAAGATGCGTTTTGATAGAGTTGCCGATAAATTAACAATATGGTAGGATTTTCCGCGGCTTTGAATGTCACTCACGGCATCATAGATGTTGATACCGATAACCCAATAAAATTAAAAGACTGACAATTCACTCAGTTTCACACTACACTACACACAGAACCTAATATTGACACTTTTCAAAATAAAATTAGCTTAATTAATTAAATTAAATTACATTACGAAGTCTTGTGGCCACGATAACATTAAGTAGAATGTATAAACTGGGCATACAAAATTACTTTGTACCTACCCAATAATGTAATTAAGTAAATATTCTATTTTTATTTTTTAACTCCATTTAAAGGACGTTTGGCACATGGGTTAACTAAAAGCAAGACAATCTATAGATAAGTCAATATTTTTTCTTAAATTGTATAAACTAAACACCTAGCTATATATTGTCTATACTGACTTTTTTTGAGTTGCTTGAGTATAATTATACCACAGCAGCTGTACTAGGTACATTATTTATTGGATGAACGAATATTATTATTCTAATTTATAAGCATAACCGTCATGTTTTAATATATAATCCAGAACTGCTTAAAATAAAAGAATGAATTCGAGTGATTTCTATTTTTATTAGGTATATTATATGTATGTAATGAAACTAGGTAGGTAATTATATTTACAGCATTAAAATAATGTGACATTTCTATTGTTGAATATGGGCCCCAGCCTTTTTAATTTATAAAACATGTAATATTATTATGTACATGTATACATTTTATGAGCAACATATAAAAATGCTGAAATAGAAACGATTGTGTTATTCACAATACGTCGATTAGCTAAGCTCTTTTATAAAAAACAGTATCATTTTATAAGTAGATCCGTCATATATTTTTATTGTGTTAACACTTCAAAAACATATCAGCATGGTTCAAACTTAAATATTGAATAAAACTTAATATCTCAGATTATATATCGAAAAATTTTAACCAAAGGAAGCTATTTATTAAATTAAATACTACGTAGATATATATATGTAGTTACTTCAAAATATGGCAGTGACTTTTTATTTTATCTACATTTTCTTCGTTCTTTTGCAGAACACATCACAATATTAAATTAGTCCTTAAAATAATGATTTAATTGAATCTCAAGTAAGTTTGGTAAATATTTCTTCACTGTCGACGTTTTCCGCGTACCATACGAGTGGAGTAAAGGCGGCGCGGCCCATTACCGCGGAGATACGGTCGCCGCTGAGCTCGCTGACCGGTTTGTCGAATAGCTGCGTTAGGTACCGAATTCAGGTCCCCAACTACAGGTATAGGGGCCGTTTTTTTATTAGGTACCGGCCAATTTCTGATGCAAACAGCACACCTGGAAAAATAAAGCCAATATTTTCCTAAGGGCCTAATTTTTAATTTATATGTATGTATAAAATATGCCTGCTAGCAATCAAAATTCGATATGGTTCAGACGAAACTTCTTCAGCTATTGTAATTTTTAATATGTTATAACTGCTAATAATAGATTTTATACTAAATACATCTCGAATTTCATTGTACTTAAATTAGTTGAGAAATCCATTGCGAACAGAATAAAAATCAAATAAAAAAATTCATATTCCTCTCGTTGCGTCCGTAGTACGAGATTGCTGGCAGGCCTTTATGAGGCCCCATGAAGGGCCATGGACCGCACAACCTCCGAGTAGAGTCTCCTTCAGGAGTCATAGGGTCCCCAGAACAATATTTACAAAATAATTGTAATATAATAATTTAAGATATTGCTTAATTTACTGTAATTTAAGTTTCATATCACGTACCTGCTGACTTTTGACACAAGGTCAGCCTTTAGTGTTTGTTGCTTGGGTTTATCGAACATTTTGCTGTCTTCAATAACAGAGAGCCAGTACGAAATGGCTGTTGCGAAATAGTTGCAGCGACCTAACCCGTTGCATTCGATGAATGGTCGTGCGCGGAACTCACTCATACATGAACCAGGGGATATTAGGCTCTGACCGGATGCGTCTGCGCCGGCAGTGTGCTGTAATTAAATAACATGTAAATAATATGATGAAAAATACAACGTTAGAATATATACATACATAAGTTCTTTCCAGTATTTTGCATTTTATGTAGCATAAGAAACTTAGCTATTCAAAATCAGAAATTAGATTAGGTTAGATCATGCACTAATTATTTTCCGAAATCATAATTATCCGGGTACCACGTACTTAGCGTGTTCCACCGTCCGTGACCACTTACTGGTTCGTAATATGTAAATATATTAATTCGTGTTACAAAAGTGAAGATAGAAAGCAGACTATATCTAATAACAACCTCCTTTCTAAAGAGAGGCCTATATCCAGCAGTGGACTAGTAAAGGCTGTTGATGATGATATCTAATACAAAACAGCACGAGTTTTTATGCATAAAAATAATTAATAATACTAAATAGTAATAACTGTTCGGACTTGACACTTTTGTCAGATAGGCGTCAATCCGAGAACAATGGACGAACAAGGGGTTATAATCGGCCACTTTTGATCTCTTGACCGTGTTGTAGGTGAGCTGCTGGATCTGTGTCTGGATTTGGGTGTGTGTAGTATGGTGTGTGTAGACGAGTTCTGCTGCGGATGTCTGGAGGTCATCCTTCCGCGCGCTGCGGATACCTAGTAGGACCCACGGGAGTGCTGTGCAGGTTGATTTAGCGTGACAGTTTATGGCAGCTATCAGCTGATGATGCATTATTTCCACGAGACCACAGGCCGTGGTGAGGTGATGAGTGGCACCTATCAGTGAGACCAGGTCGGTCGAGGTAAACTGTCGGTCACGGTCGGTGGTTATATGCTCTGGACAACCGTAGCGTGTGATCCACCCTGAGGTTAGGGCCGACACACAGGTATCTGCGGTGATGTCCTGCAGGGGGTATGCCTCGGGCCAGCGTGTTGCACGGTCTACAATCGTAAGGCAGTACTTGTTGTTGCCGGACAACGGTAAGGGTCCAACTAGATCGAGATGAATGAGGCGGAAGCGGAAACCTGATGTTGTGTCTAAGATCTGTAGTGGTGCTGATGTATGGCGCATCACTTTACTCTTCTGACAAGCTTCGCATTCTTTTGTCCACCGTCGACGATCTCGCCTTACGCCTGGCCAAACGAATCTTTGCGTTACTAAGTGAACACTAGCTTGCACACCAGGGTGACTCAGATTATGGAGGGACAGAAACAATTGTTTGCGTAACGACTTAGTAACGAATGGCCTTGGAACTGTGGTTACGTCGCAATAGATTTCGCTGTTGCCATCTGGTATTTTGACGTTTTTTAGGCTCAGACACGATCCGTTCTTCAATAGGTCATGCAGTTCCATGTCAGTTTCTTGTTCTCTGGCCACTAGTAATCCAAGGGTAGTGCCAGCTCCTCAACTCTGGACAGGGCGTCAGCCACCACGTTCTTCTCCCCACTTGATATACCTTATGTCAGTTGCAAACTGACCGATATAGTCATGGTTTGAAAACTGTCATGGTGAACAGTTTTTTCGTTTGGTTGTGAAGGCAAAAGTTATGGGTTTATGATCCGTCATGATAGATAAGGTTCGATCTTCGACCATAAACCTGAAGTGACGAATAGGCTCATAGATCGCTAAAAGTTCTCGGTCGTAGGGCCTATACTTCTTCTGTGAAGGGTTTAGTTTCCTCGAGAAGAATGCCAGAGGTTGCCAGTCTTGACCTCTACGTTGGCACTGGCAAATTTTCATACAACGGGAACAAAAAATAAACACCTCAGTCACAAAAATGTTTTAGTTTTTTACTGGTCATGGAAAATCAGATCTACAGTTTTTTTTAACTAGAAAAACAAAGTTTATTTCTATCTAGCTAAATAGGGTGCTATTTTTATTATAAATATTTAAAACATCTTATTCAATACCACTCTGTCACATTTTTGCTTCATAACGAGAAACTTTAGAATATTATACAAATCTTAAAATAAAATAACTTATCTAATAAATAAATAACTTATGTAGTTGAATAAGTGTACCTAATAAAATTTTCATCAGTTTTTTTTTTGTGAGAGCATTATGTAAAATCAGCCATCACAGAGGGACATAGGGGAGAGTAACCAATATTGAGCCGGCGCTTAAATTGGACCAATTATGTATTTCTACCTCCGTCACGCTTTTTATATACCATGGCTCATCCATTTTATAATATTTGAATTTTGAAGGTTATTGAAACGGTTGTCTTTTTTTAAGAGCTTTTGAGAAAAAGAATTGAAAAATATTTTGAAAGAATAACAATTTCATTTGCGGAGGAGACATGTTATTGTCGATAAAAAAGAAGAACTTGCAGAAACATTTCATTTAAAAAATAAAGGAAATCGATTAGATAAAACAACTCCGGATGACTTGGAATTAAATTCATATTTATGTACCTATATGTAAAAATTTGGTATGATGTTTTGTTAAAACATTTGATTTAACTTGCTCTACGCCAAGAACTAAGATACTAGGACTATGACAGAAACATGGATATGTAGAAGGTGCTCTATTACCCTGTGACCAACCAACTACCTTGACCACTTCACTGGTGATACCAACGTAAGAAAAAAAAAACAAGCCGGAAAATTACCACTGAAATGAGGTACTGAAGACGTGTTACTGGAAGAAGCCTACTGCGTCGGATTGAAGACACCCTGTTCAACCCTGACGACCCTGAACTATGGTTCGCCCAACTCGAGCCGGCTCTACCATTACCGGTACGGAGAAACGGCAAAAACATGCAATCAGCCCTGCACTTTTAGGCAAGCGGCAAACTTCAGGCAACCATTAGTGGCGGTAAACGACTGCCTAGCAATTACGACCCGCTTGTTCATCATGGACCGCAAGACGAAGATGCAATCCCTCGATCCGCTGTTCGGGAGCCACGCATAAAAACGCAATATGAGTTGTGAGCAGCTAATGGAAAAAATTAGCTGTAGATCTGTTTTTCCATGACAAGTAAAAAATTAAAACATTTTTGTGACTCTTTGTTACCGTTGAAAAAAAAGTTACAAGTAAGGCTTCGCTGGACTATGTTTTGTAACTCCACGATAACGAGGCAATAATTTCAAACATGTTTTGTTATAGAAAACACAAATTTACTTTAAAAAAAAAAACTTGATCAGCCTAATTGTCGATAAAAAAGAAGAACGACCTTCTGAACTTTGGACTGATTCGTCATTACTTATATGTTATCTATACTCGTATATGTACTTTTTTTGTTTCTGTAGCTGTACATTTTTAACGTTTTCTTAATTTTATTTTATCAGGGTTCTAATGTAGTAATGATTAAAATTATCGCTTATATTGAAGTTATCTTTAAAAATAATTTTCACATATTTTTTTGTTATTTCTTGTAAAAACTTTTTAAGATAAACATTTGAGGTAATAGGTACATAACATGAAAGATTTTATACGGCATCGTTGTTTCCGAATACTTTAAGAATCATCGGCATAATGCATCCAATTTATATACACAATACCTTAGTGAATTTTATTTCATTTATTTGTTTATTAAATCCACAAAACACATTACAATCAATTAAAACATAAAAGCTATTGTTTTTAAAAATACAACTTTAACAGTTTTAATTGGATTGTACACTTCGATCAGTTGTTAACACTGTATTATACCTGTATTACCACATCGTTTGACTTATAAAACTACTAGGTAAATTATGTTGTTTAATTTTTTCTTACCATTAAGAAACTGTATCCTTGCCACAACTCTCTCCAACCAGCAGGGCATGAAGGCACTTCGTTGCTTTGACTATGTACGGCGATACTTCGTGTTGGTGCTTCGCAAACTTGACATCTGAAATTTTGAGATAGTGTCTTGTAATACCATGTGACTTTGATACTAAGTTAAAGACAGAATTTACCCACCAGGTAAGTGATTATATATCGGTATAATATGTAGACAAAATTGTTATCCAGCACCAAGAGAAAAAAGTTGTTTTGTTGTTATACTTATAATAAAAAATATGTTAGTGGTATTAAGATTTTTACTCATATTGTATATTTTTTAGGGATGCTGCACAACTTTCAGATCCGACGTTAAATCAAATGTATACCTTTTTTTTTTTTTGTTTCGGATCTCCGGCTCCTTGGGGATATAGGAGCAAGGAGTATGTGGTGATTCCACTAAAAACCACTCCGACGGCCAGCCTTAGGCTCTGGGGAGAACCCGGGCCATGTGATTTCAGGTCCCCCAGATCGACGCCGCACCTAACTAGGTCCCATCTCAGGGAAAGCCAGTGGCTTCTCCCTGCCTCTCAGCCTATCCAAATGTTGCAGCCCGACCACATTTTCAGTGCGATCAGGCTGCCATCCTTTCTCCTACCGCAGCAATTAATCTGCCACCAGAGGTCCCCACTCTCTGGCGGCCCGCGGTCCCGTCGGCTGCACATTACGTCGTCGACGTCTACTTCGCTCGGGATCGGCCCTCTCCCGATTCCGTCCGCGCAGTGCTGGCATTGTGCCGTCTCCTCGCGTCCAAAAATCAAATGTATACCTAATAATCAAAATAAAGGACGAAAATCGGGTCCCAAACGGTCCGGGAAAATAAAAGTCGAGTATATACCTGAGTAAAACCCCGAAATATACACACACAGGAAAACCTTTAATAAGAACCTAGTATTGTCATTGTTGACAAAGTTGTTTAGATTACTGTATGTGAGTTAGATTTGTAGTTTTTAAATTTTGACATGTTGATTGCTCTTTAATTTTCTTAATTTACCATAAACATTAATATCTTTAATTTTATACGATTTAAAAATATTTAAAGCATATAGAAAATACCTGGATATGTAGTCTTTTACGTTTTCAGCTTGGATAGGTGTCATTGTCATTGGCATAGGCTCCGGTGTGGACAACCAGAAACTATAATCCTCACGCTGAGCGAAATTACATATCTCGTTAAAGTTACAGAACATATACGGCATTGTAGAGAATTTGCGTAAACAACTGCCAGCGGCACCTAGGAAATGAGAAAGTGCAGGTTAGCTCAAAAATTACAACGCACAACTATTTTGAGTTACTTATAAATTTATTTAGCGCCTATACACTATAATATCTACTGTGACCCAGATTGGTATGGTTACTACTTATGGACCCATAAGCAGTAACCATACAAATAGTTAGCAAAATATAAGTATGAGGCAAGATATTTACCTAAATCTTGTCCATGTGCTTTGCCGTTGGCTATAATATGGATGAGGGAATATCCACTCCAAAGTGGTACAGTTCCTGAGGGACATTGCGGAATAGTTCTTCTTTGAGAGTGAATTGTAAAGAAAAATCCTCTAGCCTTTGGTATAGGTTGAGCTGCTGCTCGGCCAGGGCGACCGCGGGCACCTACCTCGCCTTCATAACCTTGTAAACCTCTGGCACCCTTCGCGCCTTCTACTCCTATTAGACCCGGAGCACCTGCAAGGCCCGGGCGTCCTATTTCGCCTCTTTCTCCTTTTCTTCCTGGTACTCCATCACGACCGAAGCTACCAGGCATTCCATCTCTTCCTGGTTGTCCAACAGGACCTGGTAAGCCAACATCACCTCTTGGACTAGGCTTGATTTCATAATAAGGAACTGAGTCTCCCTGTTCACCTTTTCTACCCTTAAGTCCCATCGATCCATAAAATCCGTCTTCTCCCATATCACCTCTTACACCTTTCAATCCTGGAAAACCTCGGGTTCCGTCACGTCCATTGTACCCATCGTCACCTCGTTCCCCTTTTGCCCCCTTTAGGCCGTCAAAGCCTGGTTGGCCCTGATCTCCAATTACTCCTTTGGGACTAATTGCGTCACCAACTTCTCCAGCATCACCCTTAAGTCCACGAAGGCCCGGTAGTCCCGTAAGTCCCTCTGCCCCTGGTCTTCCAGGAGTCCCCGGACGTCCTCGTGGTCCAACCATACCTATAATTCCTTTACTTCCTTGGAATGACAGACCTGGCGGGCCTGGCAACCCGTCAGGACCATTGATTCCATATTCTCCAGGTGCACCCTTTTGTCCCATTGGACCCGGCCATCCAGGTAATCCATCAAAACCTGGTTTACCTGGTTCGCCTCTAGGAGCATTATCTGCAGTAATACCAAGTAAACCGGGTGGACCTTGATCTCCAGTCAAACCTCTGAATCCAGGTAAGCCAGTAGCTCCAAATTCTCCTTGTGCGCCTTGGTCTCCGCGTTCGCCTTTAATACCTTTTATTCCGTAGTATCCAACTTCACCTACATCACCAGGTAAACCAGGAAAACCATCCATACCTCTTTCACCTATATCACCTTTTTCTCCTACGAATGTTTCAGAACTACCAGTTTCACCAGATTCCCCTTTAATTCCAGGGACACCTTGTGGACCAACAGGGCCCGCGATGCCTCTCTCACCAGGTAGACCAGGTGGTCCCATAAACCCGGGTTCACCGTTCATACCTTGATCTCCCTTTACACCGTTTAAGCCAGGAATACCATCTAATCCTTTCGTACCTCTAATGCCTATCAGTCCTGGTCTGCCTGGGTTGCCTGATATTCCGGGGAAACCCTTATCACCTATGTCACCCCTCAGTCCCACTAAGCCAAAGTCACCCCTGTATCCTTTTTCACCCTTAGCTCCGGGTCGTCCGTTATAACCTGCATCCCCTTCAGAACCTTTCCTTCCAGGAGGTCCTTCAATATCAAATCCTTGTAAACCAAAATCGCCTTGGAGTCCTTTGGGTCCCTTCAAACCATGTCTCCCATTTATTCCATTCCTACCCCGTTCACCTTCGTCACCTTTCATGCCTTCACGAGCATCATCTCCCCGCATTCCTTGTGGTCCAGGAAGGCCTCCGTCACCTCTGATACCCTTGAAACCAGGCTTGCCGGCGTTGCCAGAATATCCCGGAAAACCATCATCTCCTGGTATTCCAGGTAATCCTGGAAGTCCCGGAGGGCCAGCACCGCCATCGAAACCATCTGCACCAGGTGCGCCAATTGCTCCATGATCACCTTGGTCTCCTTTAAAACCAACTGCTCCCGATATTCCAACGAAACCTTTTATACCATTACGTCCCTTCAAACCAGGGATACCACGAACACCAGTAAAACCTGTGTTTCCTTTCATTCCTTTAGGGCCTATGTCTCCGGGAATACCGTTGGCACCTTGTAAACCGGGTTCTCCAATAGTTCCCATTCGCCCGGGGAACCCTGGTGCTCCTGGTGCTCCAGGCGGACCAATAATGACTGACCCTTCCATTCCCTTTCTTCCCTGTAATAGAAAAGTAATATATATATTTTGCTACACGTTTGATTTTGAAAATTTAGGAAATCATATAATAACTAAAAACGTAAAACTATATATCTGTGAGACAAATAATCAATCAGATCGAGTTTTCGTTATTATATTATACAATGTAAGGGTAGAAGTTAATATGCGCTATGTGCGTTTTCATGTTAATCTTCACTTTCGTGGTCGTTTCCTTACCTTAGTACAGCATAGTCGCTGCGTTATTATGTGTAGTAGTCAGATTTTATGTTATGTTTAATAAAGTATACCTACTAGAAATTGCAAGAAATTAAAATAAACAAATGTTCCCACACAACAAATTATTTCCTCTTTTTGTCTAATAAAAGTATCTACGCAAAAACTACCAGTAACATAAAAGTGTACACTAGAGACATGTGCTTCTGTCAATTTTGTTTAGCGCTTTCGCTATAGCATGCGTTATAATTAAAAAGACGTGCATGCGTTAAGGTAGAAAGTCGCAAGATGAACCTTAAAGCGCACTGGTGTAAATATTCTTTAAATTTTTAGTATCAATCAACCCCCGCTACACAGGACATATTAGTCGGATAGATTTAGCAGAAAATTGTTATAAAAATCCTGAAATTGATGACCTCCATGATCTTTATTTATCTGTTAGTTGATAACGTTACGATTAACATATTTCATTTCAACGCGTTCAAGTACATGGTTTTTTTTTTTGTCGAAAACTGTCAAAAACGGTTTATCACGTTTTACAAGAAAACTTTAAATCATACAAACAAAATGTAAATGTACAAAAAATGAACAAAAAAACAAACAACATGAGACTTGAAGAGTTCCGATTGGCTTAATAGTGTGGGTTTTGTAGCCTCCAGTTGGCTCACAATTTTTGGGACAACTTGGAATAAATTTTCAAAAACTCTTTCACGTCACCTAGCACTTATTAGGTTTTGTTATGGAGAGAGAGAGGAGTGGATTACAGCCTAAAATAAGAATTGGAAAATTTATACAACCTTTGGCTAAGACAGTGAATAACCCAAAAAAAAACGACGGGTTGTACTCCGGGAGCGAAAACTTGAATATTAACGTTGTGCATTTTTGATATTTTGGAATGGTTAGGGAATAATTTTGCACGAATTGCCTTTAATTGTCAGTATAAAAGTACTATAATTTATGTGGTAGAATACAATATTTATTTATTGCGCTATAGTACACAAACATGACAATTTATATTACATTAAAAAGTTTATCTCTCAGAAAAACGAACATTCGCGCAAGCGCCCTGCGCCGCCTAAACGAAACAGCAGGCGCAGGCATACATTTTCAAAGGCGCAGGCAAAGAGAGGGGGATACTTCCTCTCCTACGCCGCGCCGGCTGCCTACTCTCCATCCGTCTTTCGAATTTTCGATCAGGTCACGTGTCCTGACGCGAGTTTAACATTTTTTACCCATTATAAAAAAAGCGTACAACGCCGCTAAAGAAGTTTTCACTTCAAAATTAATGTTTTAGAGACGATCACCAGCAACTATCTAACGAAGAGACACACACAATTATGTCTGCGGGCGCAGTTCACGGTAACATAGAACTAAAACTGAAAAGATACGAGATTCGAAATATAATACGATTTCCAGGATAATGATACGGTGGAGCAATCTAGAAAGAATATTGTTACGAGCGGGGTATAAAATAAATCACTGTTGTCGGTTAATTACTTTATTTCACTGTATTTACAAACACTCACTATAATAAACTAGAAATCACTATATATCTTGTTATTCGCACTAGAAATTCACTCCGATGTTAATTAATTGTGTCGTAACACGAACGGCCAACATGCTCAGCTTTTATAGCGCTTTTGAATTTTACTCGAAAGTTCCTGATGTTCGACAGTCCGTTCCAGACAAACACGAGTATTCCAGAATCAGTCACGCGTTACTTGCAGTGCCATCTAGCGCTGTAAGGATCAGAACTACTCGTATTAAACACAATCTTAATAGATGTACTTTAGTCGATACTAGATGGCCCTGTCCTCCACATTTCATACAATCGAACCATTTAATTCTATGGCTCAACACTATTAAGGTTATAAAAGTTTAGAATAATTATCAATGGCAAAAGAAAAAAAGGCGAAACGAGCTATCGTTAAAAAGAACCCTTGAGTGGTTTTATTTTAAATAATGTGGTAGAAGTAAATTTTCTATGTGGATCAATAAACCTACTTTACAAGACCTAATATATTCATTGCTAATACTATCGATGCCAATCTGGTTGTCTATCTGTGTGTCTGCATGCTATATACAAGGTGATTTTGAAAGCGTCTTGGAAAAGAAAATTTTGAGTTATTTATCAGTAACAGAAGCTATATATGACGTTAATTTAATAAAATATATATATTTTTTATCATCAAAGTCGATATTCATATCGATTACAGAGAAAAGGTGAGAACCAGTAGTAGGGCTTTTCAATCGCAAGTAGGTAAATACTACGAATAGAAATACTATACTCACGCGCAAGGTCAAGGACGTTTAAATTATTATTCGCCGGAGTGTAGTGCGTGCGTACCTGGACAATGAGTTTAGTGATCGGTGGATAGGTCGAGGAGGGCCAGTGCCTTGGCCACCTAGAACCCCGACCTTACGCCCCTGGATTTTTTCTTATGGTCGGAAATAAAAATACTTGTTTATACACGGGAATATGAAAGTCGTGATAATTTATGCATTGCGATAGTGGACGCTTTTGATAAAGTGAAAAGTGATAGAGACACATTAAGAAAATTAAATAACAATTGCATTAAACGTGGACGTTTGTGTATTGAATGCAGCGGACTCCATTTTGAGCAGTTCCTTCGATACAGAGAAGTGTAAATAGTGTAAATAGGTATGTAAGTTAATTATTCTGTAGATAGCTCCGATTTTTTAAATACGCTTGAAATATTTATACCTACAGTCCGTTGATAAATTGATTTGTTGTGAAAAGAACAATCGTGGTTAATAATCGAAAAGAAGTTTAAATAAAATAGGTATTTCCGACGGTCCTAAGCCCGTGTAAAGTATGAAGGACAAATTGGAGTCTATCTACGTAAGTATTCGCTAGCTCGCGCCTATAGGTATACTTTTATCAGCTGCTGTTAGCGTCAGCGGTGTGCAGCGGCCGCCGAAACGCCCACGGACGTGTTTCATTCATATAAGATAATGAATGAATGATCAGTCCATTACTACTTTCCAAGTCGATCGAGTAAAAATGAATATTAATACTGAAACTTTTTTTAGACAACATTACAATTATTTTAATCATTTTTATTGGTACTATAGATGATTCCAAATTAAAATGTTTCGTTTCCAAAACGCCTAAAAAATCACCGTGTATTTACGTCTAATTGCTGAAAATGGAGCCTGAATATGTAAATAATAAAATTAATTAGTAAAAATGTGTTCGGGGGGTAGGTGATACGCTTACAGGTAGCTCCTAGCATGTGATCAAAAGCGCAATATGACAAACGATCTCAAATTGTCAAAAAAACAGAATGTCAAAAGCGCTAACAGAAGCTATATATAATGATACTGAATGACTATATAAATATTTATGTTCTTACTTTTTTATTTAATTTTATCTGTTTAATTGAAATTATCAACAGACAACAAAGTGATACAGAAATCAATATTTTGTATTTTGCCTCTACAAAATAATATGCACATATTAGAAATTAGATTGATCAGAATACATCACACGATATTCTAAATCCTCATTTCTCAACACAGCCAGCGTTTATACTAGGTATTGGTTGTAGACTCCGGTTTCTGTATTTATACTCAAGAATGGTCCATTATGCGTCGAGGACAGGTTGGCTAGATGAGCCAACCAAGCTCCTTCCAGAAGCGTAGAAGCCTCCTGAGGCATTCACAGGCTTCTAGCAACGATTTTGTATCAGGAATGATACTTGCCCGTTGTATGGCCATTCCCTCGCATTCCAGGATTACGTGGGCGGCCGTTTCTCCTGCTTTCAGACATCCTCTGAAAAGAGGACTGTGAATAGTTGTCGGTTCAGGGCTAGGTGTCCTGTTAAAGTTCCTACAACCTGCAGATCAATCTGTCGAGTCGTGCAGGTGCAGCAGGTGAGTCGTGGTGTGACTTCAGTCAGCACCAGTATGGACTGCCTGCAGCCGGGTGAGTTTTTCCACCTCCGGTTGTGTGCTTCACAAGTCCGTTGCCTGGCCCAGAATCGAAGTTGGTTGAAGGTGGTGGTGGTTGCCGGGGTTGCCGAGCCCCTCCTTGCCAACTCATCTGCGGAGTCGTTGCCGTGTGAGTTACTGTGCTCTTTAATCCATTAAAGTAGTACCCTATTTAATGTGGCAAACTGCTCCAATGCTTGATGGCATTCGAAGACAAAACCAGAGTTCATTGTGTTGCCCTTTAGTGCTTTTAGGACGGCTCTGCTATCGGACAGTATTCGGATGTTATAGTCCTTAAAACCCCTGGACAGGCCAAAGTAGTGTGTTGCCCAACTACTAAGATCCTCTCAATTCTACTAGTCTCTACACTATCTTTGTACGATTTGAAGTGTTCTTGTAAAACGCGATAAACAGTTTTTGGCAGTTTTTAACAAAAAAAAATAACAATCTTCCCACTAACGGATCCGCGTTGAAATGAAATATGTTAATCGTAACTTTTTTTAACTAACGGATAAAATAAAATGGAGGTTATTAATTTTATTCGTGGATTCTCTAATTCTATCCGACTTTATTTATAGTGCGCTTGTAATTTTTAATTGTAATTTATTAGTATTGTAATTTTTAAAAACAAAATAAAGTAAAAAAAACGTTGTTTTACTGAATCCAGAATTATCCAAAAAGTAAATGTTTCTAATTTTTTATTTGGCTATCTCACTGTTATTACATCGATGGCCGATTACAACAGTTTTGAGTACTTTATGCATAATACAAATAATCTTACCTTTAGTCCTGGTGGTCCGTCTGGACCTATATCTCCATTTAGGCCGCTTTGCCCTTTCAGTCCCATGCTTCCAGTTCTACCTTGTATTCCTGCATATCCTTCATCTCCATCATCTCCTCGTGTGCCAGCCACTCCGTCAAAACCTTTTTCTCCCATTATAATAGAAAGCCCCGCGTCTCCACGTGATCCTTTCTTTCCTCTGTTGCCCGGAAATCCAACAGATCCTGGAATACCTTGGTGACCTGGTATTCCATAAGGTCCCATATCTCCTTTAAGGCCTGGATAACCCTTAAATCCCTTAAGTCCCCTTTGTGATGTACCCATTGGTCCTTGATCTCCTTGAATTCCAGGGAAACCATCAAAACCAGCATCACCATTGTCACCTTTGAGTCCAGGATATCCTGTCAAAATGAGGAAAATATTAAGATAATAAGTTAAGTAGTTTGATGTTAATACGTTTTTAGGTAAATTATGTAAGTAAGTATAAGTATGGATGTTTTAGAGACTACATTATAATGCCTAGAGATCATGACTCACAATTCTCAAATTAGGCAGAGCCTGTGCTATGATAACCAGACCGCTGATGAATATATTAATATACATATTTCTAAATACATTACATATTTAAGATAAATTAAATCAGACACAGAACAAATGATCGTGATCATCACACAATAATTATTTGACCTGAGTGGAAATCCAACCCAGAACCTCCGACTTAGTAGTCAGGGTCACTAACCACTAGACCAACAGGCAAGTCCTTACTGGCTGGTCATCAAATATTCCTTACTGCCATCAGTGAGGAGTGTTTATTAACTAGGCCTAAAAGAACCCTTTGACAAACGTTAGTTGCAGAATGTTAAAAAAGAAAATCAGTAACAGTAAGAATCAAGAATTGAAAGTTAATGTTTATCAAGTCAGAGGATTTAATTTCTAAGCAAAATAACATCACCTAAGATTGTTTAGAGATGTTAATATTCATATGACATCCAATTACAAAGAGGCTATTATTATAATATGATTCTCATATGCATATTTACATTGCACCACAACATTTACACTGGTAACAAGACCCTACAGTCTATTCGAAATCTACACCCCGAAATAAAAAAAAATAAAAAAAAAAATTGGCAACTGTAGAAAAAGCACAATTTTAGCAAACTCATAAAAAAAAAACAAATTAGTGATAGAATTAACTAAATAATGTAATTTAAAATTCGTAGTTAAAAATGTCAAATGTAAAGATGAATGTTTATTATATTAGTTAGAGAACCTTTGACTTTCCTATGCAGATGGTTCTTACCTTTTGGTCCAATCACTCCTGGGTAACCTTTGTCACCTTTTGCATGCAACCCTTCAGCGCTAGAGTCTCCTGTCTCTCCTTGCAGACCATCTTCTCCTGGGTCTCCTACCTCTCCCCTATAAAATAAAGTTACCGTGTGATATAAAGTTGATAATGAATAACCTAGAAGGATATTTAAAAATAGCGTGAACTAATAATAATCACGTTTACTGGTATATATATAAATATATCCTTCTCGATTTGTATAGATGTGACTCTTTTTAACGACTGATATCAGACTACTTAGTTAATGCTACGAGTACTATGGCTATAGCTTAAACGGCAAAAAAACACAAAAAAAACTAGTCATCCTAAATAAGTATCAAAAGGTACTTTTTGTTCTGATCATTATTAAATAAATCCTTTTAAAAAAAAGTTGACCTGACTTCAAATAATACTGGCAAAGAGCACTAAAAATTAAAAATGTAAGTAAAAAAATCTAAAATAAGTACCCTCAATATAACAGGTAACTTTATAATAGCAAACTATTGCTAGTTGTTAGTTCAACAGACTAGATGGGCTTGATAGAATGTAGCGCGGCAGCTGCATCAGTCTTCATGCCGCGCTAAACATGCTGACCGAGCTAAAGTGGGTTACGCATATCTCAAATGATAATTTTATTTTTAATGCTTTATTATGTAGTTGAAAAAAGAAAGGTCTTTATTAATTAACAAAATCTGCGAAGTTTCATTACAATTACAAATATTGAATTCCTAATTCTTTTATTGTGCTAATATAAAGCTGACATAGACCAGTATTACTTATTGTGAATCGGGCTTGCCACCGACTTCAAATAGACTAGAAGGGACTATTGCTATTATAATGTCACCTATTATATTTTTTACTTAGATTTGTAATTATTTTTTAATTTTTTGTGTTCTTTGTCAGTTTTGTTTGAAGGCGGTTCAACTTTTTTAAAAAAGGATTTATATTACCATTCATAGTGTAAGATATGTTTGTAATGAGTAGATAAGTAAAGAGTTATCTATCTATCTATCTATCTATCTATAAGCACGATATTTAAAACACTACGTACCGTAATGTGTAGTACCAAACTGTAGTATGTTAGATTATATTAAATATAGTCTAATTAGTCCGTTACTTTAGTTAGATAAGGTAGTTTTTTTTTAAACCGAAAATATATTATTTTCTGCATTACTTAATTTTCCTAAACTACGAGTAATATTTTTTCTTGACATCTGAATGGAATTAAAAGGGTAATGTACCAAAGGATAATATACAAATAAAAAAAGAATTTTCATAATGCGGTTTAAAAATCAAAGAGTTTGAGGTAATAAACATGAAAGTAATTGCGTAACAAACATTTTTTTTGTCTAAATGGTTTGTAATCTCATATATTACTCTTTTGTGCACATATCTCTGTAACCCAACACAAACACCTAACAAATATCTTGAAAGAAAAAAACAAGCTCAATACGTGATTAGATTTTTGAAAGAAATATAAAAGGTCAAGTACCCTTCCATCATCAGCTCAGCAATATGACAGAATGACTACTAAACGCAAATACCTATAAAGCCAGAGATAGATAGATAAGCTAAAACACGTCTGGGCTGTAAAATTTGTGAGATTCCCTCACTTTCTCTAGGATCTCATCATCGGGTCCTGATTTGGTAGTAATGGGGCCACCTCGATACCCTTTCGATTACAAAAAGGATTTTGAAAATCGGTCCACAATTGACGGAGAAACCGCGTGACAAATTTAAAAAAAAAACAGACTAGTTGTTAACCTCCTCTTTTGTGTTTTTGAAGTCGGTTAATAAAAAGCCCCCACTCTGTCGTTTGACTAAATTTTGTTGTAATTTTTATTTCTAAAATACACGACTGCTTCAAGAAATATCTACTCGTAGTTACAAAAGTCATTCAGACATCACCTGACTGTTGTTATGAACATTAGAAGGGGTTAAAAGCTTTGCATCGGAGTAGGAACTTTGGAAAACGTGAACTGTTTTCATCGTGTTGTCTTTAATTGCTGTACTTACTACAAGAACTCTCGGTAACATATTTGCCTCACTCAATCCGAGTCATCTTAAATAAGGACGGTCATTGTTTTTTATCAAATCCGTTTTATGTCGCTTAAACTTATGAAATTTAAACTTTTAAAGTTATAAATAGTTTTTCTTAAAATAGTTAGTAAATAATAATAAAAAGGATAATATATAAAAAGAAGTGACTCTACGTCACCAGTAACGTCAAGGACTTTGTTTTGTTGAGGAAGATGCGTTTTTCTTAAGATTCCTGGTGTTATTATATTATGTTGGTATTAATGTGTTTTTCTTGTTTTTTTAGTATCATATACCTATATCTATCTATATATATTATATTTTATTAGGCCTCAAAACAATTTTTGTATTTAAATAAAAATAATAATTACTTTGTTCCCTGTTCTCCAGGTTCTCCAGTCAGAAATTGAATGGGTATTGAGGCGTCCCGCCCTGGATAGCCTGACTGTCCATCACGACCTCTCGATCCGTTTGATCCCGGCAAGCCAGGAAATCCAGTGTTACCTGTTTGACCCTTAACACCCATTGCTCCATTGTCCCCACGTAGACCGGGCCAACCTGCATCGCCTGGTAAGCCCACTGCACCATTGAAACCTGTATTCAATATTATATATATTTTATAGGTGTCACATATTTATATAATACATTTAAAAAAGAGTCGTTTTTTAATCTTGTAGAAGTGAGTTACTTACCCCTGTCACCCTTTTTTCCGACTTCAGCTTGTCTTAGGTTCTCCGGTGGAAGAATCACTTTTCCACTTTCTCCTTTCGGCCCCTGCGGACCCATAGCACCTTCCACACCCTTATTTCCCTTGGGTCCTTTTGGTCCATTCAGTCCAGTTCGGCCAGCTGTACCTTGATTACCTCTTATTCCAGGTAATCCTTCAGGTCCTGGATTACCTTTCCGTCCCTGGAAACCATCATCTCCTTTTTGGCCTTTTGGACCAGGTGCTCCTGAAAATCATGAATGTAATTTAATGTGACACAATAATTGTGAAAACAAGACAACGTGTGCAACGGACACCGAATATCTCTCAGGAAAAAAATCTGCCAATACGCAGTGTATTTTGTAACGTCAGGGATGCAAGAGGGCGCTTAAGGAACTTATGAGAGCCCACAAGTAGATACTTGAAAACTCATAGGCTTCTTTCTCAGTGTGGGTAGTATCCTACTCTCAGCAAAAAATTCTGTCAATACGCAGTGTATTTTGTAACGTCAGGGATGCAAGAGGGCGCTTAAGGTACTTATGAGAGCCCACAAGTAGGTACTTGAAAACTCATAGGCTTCTTTCTCAGTGTGGGTAGTATCCTACTCTGGATATATTACTCTCCATGGCGAGCAGTAAAGTCTCCCAGGAGCGTAAACTGCGCAGACGAACAGTGCTGTTGTTTCTCACTCTCCGCTATGAGAACAATATGTAGAGGACCAAACTACTTGATCAAGACCGGTATATTTGTGAGTACAAAACAGAAACGCCCAAAACTAGTAACGAGGACATTGACAAGAGAGATCATCGACAACGATCGACACTTTCATCCAGAAATACAAATGTTCAAAAGGGATGGGAAAATAGTTTTAGGCGATTAACGCCACGGGAAATCGTAAAAACAACAAAATTGCACTAAGTGAAGATGGTATAAACTAATATACAGTATTTATAATAATTTAGGTTAGTCAAATGCGATCTTCCCGAAGTGCAATTTAGTGATTTTAACATATTGGCGTCCATATCCATTTATTAAACGCCCTTTGTTATTTCTAACATGTGATGTGTAATGTTTGCTAAGTTTAACTTACCTGATAGACATATAGGACAATCATCACCATGTTCTCCTTTGAGGCCATGGTACCCCGGACGCCCGGGAGTACCTAAATCACCTGCAGATCCTGGAAGTCCAGGTGAACCGGTTTCCCCAGGAGGACCAACACCGTGGACTCCTCTTCCTGGGAATCCTGGTGGTCCCGAATCACCCTGGTCACCACGACTTCCACGCAATCCTGGTATGCCATCTACACCAGGTACGCCATCTTCACCATCGGGTCCAATAACTCTCGCTCCTTTGAAGCCTTTGGGTCCTAGCACTCCTGGTAGACCGGGTGCTCCTGAATGCCCTTTAAATCCAGGTAGCCCTTTAAAGCCATCATTTCCTGGTTCTCCTTTTATAGATGTACCCGGACTTCCTGGTCTTCCTGGCCTTCCTTTAATTCCAGGGAGCCCAGTTGGACCCACAATACCACGTAAGCCCCGTAGTCCAGGTAACCCTGGTGCTCCAGGAGGGCCTAAAGGACCTTCTGGACCTTGTGGTCCTGAAGAGCCCTGCGTCGGAGCCACATCTAGTCTTTCGTCATAAATTCCAGGTTCTCCCATAGGTCCTTGAATTCCAGGATTTCCTAGTAAGCCGTCTTCACCCCGCGGTCCTTTTTCTCCATCTGCTCCATCCACACCAGCGTATCCTGGTGCACCTTTGTCACCTTTGGGACCTGCATCGCCGTCCCTACCACGGTGACCTGGTTTTCCTCTCGGACCATCGTCACCTTGAGCACCCTTTATGCCTTGTACACCATCGAATCCGTAAGGACCCTAACAAATAAAAACCTTTAAATGAACACAATCCAAAACTAACAAATATATTTTAATTGAAAAATTGTTGGTACTTACAGGAAGACCTACAGTGCCGATCATCCCTTTAATACCTTTTACACCCCGCTGTCCTGCTAAGCCTTTTTCTCCTTTACTACCTTTAGTGATTATAGTTACGTTGTGTCGAAAGTTATTAGTTATAACAACAACAGCAGGTCGTCCTGGTTCACCGACTCGCCCCTGGTCACCTTTAGGTCCAGGAGGGCCGAATGTGGTTTCGCCTTCTTGGCCTCTCTCGCCTTGTTCTCCCCGAAGACCCATCATACCCTTAAATTGTAAATCGAAATCACTAAACCATAACAAACCAACACGTGCGTGTATGTATTGTATTAAAGATTGTATGATTATATTGTATGTATTTGAAAATGGGGTTGAATACTTTACTACGGATACAGATTATATAATTTTTTAAATGTGTAATTTCATATAATACTAGAGTAATATTATTACAAGAAATGTGTACAAAAACAAGTAATTCCATAAGTATTTGATTACCTGATCACCTTCAGGACCTGTGGGACCACTATCACCTGTCCAACCCATTGAACCTACGGGTCCAGGGTTTCCAGGCCGACCAGCTTCTCCCGTGTCTCCCTTTGCACCTCTGGAGTTTACACCTCCTTCACCAGCCATGCCTTGGTATCCTTTATCACCAGGCGCTCCAGGTAAACCTCTATCACCAGGTAAACCAACTCTACCAGGTGGTCCTGTCACTCCATCTATTCCACTACAGCCATCCAACCCGGGAAAACCTGGAATACCTTGTTCTCCATATGGACCCTAAGACAACATAATTTTATTATTTTGTGTGATAAAACTTAAATAATATGTATTTGTTATGTATTATTTTAATGATAAAGTTCAAGATTAAGTAGGTACATTACATTACATTAGACTAAAAAAAACAGCTAAAATTCGCGCACCTACTTACCTACCAACTAGTATTTGGATGTGCCGTCCAATCTTGGGTATCGATTCTCAAAGGGCTTTCGTTCTTTCCGAGAAAAGTTATAGTCGTAAGAATATTCTCTTGAGCGATATAATACGAGTATTCATCACATAAATCTGAGCGTTTTAAATGAATTAATGTGACATTACAACAACTTAACGATTTACTTATTTTTGCCGTTACTTACGAGTGAGACACCTTACAGGGACACTGTGAGATCTGACTATTTATTTCTTAGAATAACTTTGTGATCGATTGGCAAATATAATAAAACTAGCTTTTTGATATCATGCCGGATATGAACGCGAGGGTCTATGACCAGACTCGTGCGTTTCGACCAGCTCACTTATGTAATCAGATATGTCCTACCTAATGGATCACCTGTAGAACGTTTGCTCAAGTTCATTCCAAACACAGGCAACAAATCACAATAAATGACAAATGCTGTTTTCTCAACTTTAACTGAATTGCGAATTGACATTTTAAACTGCCGATGACAATCTTATGATAGTGTTTTAATTAAACGTGCAATCTACTCTTATACACATATCCTTAAAACCTCGGAAAATATAACCAACTAGCAGCTATTATAGTTAACTAAACTAATGAATCGGTTTCGATAAAGGTCGACATATGTAGTTGGCAATAAAGTAAATTCATCATGTAGTCCACACTGTGGTGTGTGGTACTTACTACGTGGCCTGGGGCCTAAGGCGGCCTAGGTTACAAATCCTCCACTGCATTAAGGACTTGTTTAAGGTACATCACGCTATTATCAGTAAGAGTGGAACTTTAGAACGTTAGATAAGAGTACTAGGTCTTCTAATCTTATTAGGTAGGTAACTATAATTTTGTAGTATTTTTGTACGCAGAAGTTCTTTAAAATACCAATATTTTAAAGTACTCGTACTTCTGCGTATACTTTATTTTTAGTTTTTTTTCTTCCCATATTGATTTTAGAAGTACTTATTGATTTTCTCCGGAACCAGATCTCGACACAACTTATAGTTGCCCGTGACAATAACACTCTTTATGTAAATCGGTTCCTACGTGATTAATTTTTTTTTTTCTAAGAGAGGGCAAAACGAGCAGACATTATATTATGACTTCAAGTCAGTGTAAATTAAGGCTTCTAATACAGACTCTTTATTTTTCTTGACTTGACAGATTGATTTCTTAAAGGGAAAACGAATGTCGCATGTAGATAGCATACCTGTAAACCGGTGTCGCCTCTTGGTCCATAAGGCCCATCGATGCCCTTAAAAAATGAAAATATATTCGTTAATGGTTAGAATAGCATACCTGACAAATATGGTTATGAAAAACTTTACATATTACAACAATATTTACTATTGCGTTTTTATTGTATACTAGCTGTTCTTGTCATGTGATATCCATTATGTCTGCGTGTGTTATGTGTGTGTATGTTATATATATCAACCAGAACTTTTTTGGGATAAATAGATCCTTGTAAGATTGGTAAACCGTGAAAGCACAACTCATCCCAATCTCAGTTGTGCATTAAAGTTTATGTTAAGATTTTACAGGTTTGATTAAAACTAACTATTAATAAACCGCAAAGAAACAAAGTAGCAGAAAAAGACAAAAAATAATATTTGTATTATTTATATTTCTTTTTTATTTTTTTTAAAGGTAACTCCCGCATTAGGAATAAATCCTGTGTCGCGGGGGACTTTACAAACATACATGAAACGGACACAAAGAACACCCAGACTCAGAACAACAACTTGTGGATCACACAAAGTGTCGTCCCATGTGGGGTTTGAACCCACAACACTCGGCGTAGTAGGAAGCGGCGTGGCGACCGCTTAAACCACTAAGCCATCCGTGTTTGACAGATTCACAACGATTGCCAGATTGATAGTCAAGTTGAATCAGTTTCTCTTTATTATCAGCCGTTTACGTTGAAAATATACGTAAAGTTTACTTTAAGAGAAAAAAGAATTTAATGGCATATAATAATAATAATAATTTTATTTTCAGACATACAGTCCATAGGTTGTTTAGTAATGGGTTAGAAACAGAAAGTACTTAACGTCTATATTAGTATTGTTAGTAACGGCACTTAATAGTAGAAAGGCATTCAACTATGCTTTCCTATTGCTATTGCCACTCAGTGCCTTTATATAGGACAGTCTGGCCTACTAGCAATCATCTTCAGGACGCTGTTCCGGGTAATTCTCAAGCGCTGTAGCATGGAAGGCGATTTTTTACCCATGAGAGCATGAAAACCCTTAAAATAATATAACCCTTAACTTCTGTAGGACTATGAAAGAATATATTTTAATAGCAGAAAATTACCCTTTTAAAATTCGAGCCCTTAAGTATTAAGTTTCAATACATACTCTTATACCCTTATCGCCGTAATCGCCTCTATCCCCGTTGTCACCTGGAATCCCCGGCTGTCCAACACGTCCAATAGGCCCGTCTTCACCGTACTCTCCTTGCAAGCCAGGAATACCGGGGGGCCCTGGAAACCCTTGATCACCTTTGATTCCAGAACAATCGCATACTGTCTGATTGCACACCACCTGAAAATAAAATATGTATCTATCTATAAAAAAGTAACCAAGTTCGTTTGACCGTTCTATCTAACGAAAGGTATTGATGCACATATTTGTCGAAAGCACCTAACTTTTAATATTCTCAAGTTACACACAAATACGATTTTCGATCATTTAAATTTTTGCCAACAGAAATTGGTACAGTTGGATTGAAACTAGGTGTAAACTATAAACTGACGGCTATTCTCTCGTTAATTTCACGTTATGTTAATAATAGTCGATTTCCATGTAGATACAGAATGTCGCCTACTGAATACAAAGAGAATCCACGATTATATTATATTTGAGGTCTACAACACCTAACGTGCGCCTTCTGGTCAATGTGCACCACAGGAGCACAACGTCTTTCCTAACTGATGGCGTTTCTATGGTTTGTATGTATATGTTCACACTTTCTCTATGTGTTTCTTCGTTTTAAATCATCTTTATTGTGTAACTGAGCCTTTTTTATTATGCATACAAAATATGTCAGTTTGATGACTTTAATCATACCAGCTTTATGTCAAGCAGTAATTTATAAATTGTTAGTATTTATACGGAAAGTCGTGGTCACAGTCCAAGTCCGACCCTTCTACCCAATCAAATCTATTTTACAAGAGTAATTAATTTTAACATTATAATTGGACATGATAGAGCATAATTCAATCGTGTTTACTGCCTGCCAATTACATGACACATTTTATAACTGCAAGTAATACACATTAATTAAAAATACTGTATAATGGAGTCGTCGGTAACAATGAACGTGCCTTATCGTCGGGACCTCTGACATACATTCGACGCAGACCAAGTGTAAGACCATTGCACTTCCTACTTTATAAAAGAGCATGAAAATTACTTTCATACATTATAATGTTGCTCTTAATCATTTATTTTTATAGATTTATATCCGATCAACATCATCGTTCAACGCGATGTTGATAATACTAGTTACCAGTAGTAACTATACATTTGTTTCTAGAATGTAACACAGATCAATGTTGGTCGTTTTCAGATATTGGTCTACTGATCGGACTACTACGGACCATGTAACAATAGGATTACTGATCCTATGGTCTTCTACTTATATGCAACGAAAATGCCTTTAGTACTATAATGTGTACCTAAATTTAAAAGTTAAATGTTGTAAATACAGTTACGTAAGCTTCTTTTTTTATAGCTGCATGACCTCCATGTTACCGGTATGTTTTTTTAAAAATAATATGGGTATCTCACATGCAGGTGAATAAACTTCAAAATAGGAAGAAAAGTAATCGAAAAGTCTAAACTTACTTTATTTTTTTTTTTAAATGGATACAAATGTATATGAATTTAGGTATAACATTTTTCATGACATAGCGCATAAGAAAGAAAGCGGGTAACCTGGAGGCAAGTGACTACAGCCGCCTGTTGACACCTGTAGCTCAAGAGTTACAAGTCAAACCTTGTAGAAGGTATTTAACATTTATTTTACGTTTTATGCGAATTGTTCACGATGAGCGTGCGTGCGTGGACGTGACCCTGGCCTTTTCGAGCTATGCGACTTGAACTGCAGATTGGGCGGCACTGAACTCTTCACCGATCGCAACGCCGAACGCGGTCACCGTGACGATCGAGTAGAAGTGAAAATAAATTCACACTCCTCTCCTAGCTAGCCTAGCTCTCAAGTCTCAGTCCCCTTTACCTATGCATGTCGACTTGCGATATCAATTTACCATAGTTCTCTCGCTCTATCAACTTTCACTACCTCAGCACCTTCTTCCTACTTTCCCAAAGAGGGGTGGCGTCATAAAAAAAACTAGATAAAACTTTTTGCACATTAAGTGTTACACATTACCCCAAATAAAATTAAGGAAATGCATAAACAAATGAAATAAACTCCCGAAAGCGGCGACGTAATCGTTTAAACCGCTACGCCATCCGTGTAGTCGAATTCATCCCTGTCTATAGAAAATAACAACGAGAGATCTTAATTAATAAAAATATTGAGATGCCAGAAAATGAGTACTATACTTCTGTGGCTATTTCAAGAATATAAGTATTAAGTTGTCCAATGTGTGAAGTCTTTTCCTATTATTGTGATTTTGTGCAGTATTCAAAAGACTTCCACTCTTTGAAGCTTTCATCAGAAATTCAGCCGTCCTCAGTTCTATGAATGTTCAGTCAGTAGGCAATAAATATTTTTTGGCATATTTTAAAATTAGCAGATTGTAAGCACATCATACCAATGATTTTACCGGTCATAATTAAAACAAACTAAATGGATTTTGCAGAATAGTTTATTGCTGAACAATGATGTCAGCGTAGCATTACATCATCTTTAGAACAGACGTTACCCAACTCTGGTCGCATCATTCGGTTTTACAGTTTGACCCAGTATAAACTTAGATATACTTTTTACTGTTATGATCGGCACTGGACAGATATGTTCAGTAAGTTCAGGCTAAATATGATAAGTTAAAGGTACCTTAGACTGACTAGAATGATGATGTTTCGCTTTGGGATTCTGTTTAAATTGCCTTAACTTCCACCGAAAAAAAGATGTATTGATCCGATTCGTTTAGTTAACACTATTCACTGATCAACTTTTATTATTTATCACCAATTTCTAAGTCGGCATTTTAATTAACCAACTGAATGCTTTGCATCGAAAATTTTAAAACTGTGAATGATTAGAGACGCCGTTTACATAGAATGATCAAAAAAAAGGAAATGAAAATTATTGTTCTTTACTTCAACATTGGTGTTGTAGTTGTTACCTACTTAATCATGTGACGTAACTGGACAGCGCATCTTCTTTCACAGACATTTATTTACTTTTGCTATTCTTCAAAGCCATAGCTTTAATACCAGGTAATACAATGTTTGCTGACATTAAGGTATTTATAATTGATGCTCGCGTTTGTAAAGTATCACCGTATTTGTACTGTTATACTTGGAAACAGATGTATTAGTATAGTGTCTGTATGCTAGTATGCTTTAATAATATCGTCTCCGTTTAATAAGACTCCATTTCAAACGTATCAATTTACAGTCAACAACATCGCTAAATGTGCATGACGACCACTGCAATAGAGCTTATGCTAGACAATAATTCTGTCGAACTACTTTTAAATTAATAGATAGTAAAATATTGCTAGAACTCTTAAAATTTATTTTAAGAGCTTTGTAGTAGAACGACACATATAAATTTTGTATGCTTTTTAAAATACAACGGCGTATAGTTTGTGATTTAAATTATAAGAACTCGTAGTACGTTCGCTAAAAGAATGAAATTAAAAATATTTTAATGTGAATCATGGTTCAGGGATACTTTGTAAAGATTGGTATTTTCTCCTCCGCTACAAACGGTGTATCAGTTTGGCAACTCTGGAGAGAAAGAAAATAAGATCTTAGAAGACATCAGGTAGGCTCGCTTTTGAAGAGTAATGAGCCTTGTTTACTTTTTATATTTTACTAGCTGACCCGCGCAACTTCGTCTGCGTCTCTCAATAGTAATAAATTTTATCCGTTTTTGAAACATTCTTCATTGGTGCTCCGCTCCTATTGCTCTTAGCGTGATGATATATAGCCTATAGCCTTCCTCGATAAATGGGCTATCTAACACTGAAAGAATTTTTCAAATTGGACCAGTAGTTCCTGAGATTAGCGCATTCAAACAAACAAACAAACTCTTCAGCTTTATAATATTAGTATAGATTTGGGAATTCATTACAATGGCATATTATTAAAGAGCCTACGTGTTTGTTCATTTTCGTCAAGAGTATATTTTGTGTATTAGATAAGTACTTATTGTCTGAGTCGAAATCATTGATATATCACTTGAATATACATATGTTGACTCATGATTTAGTGTATTTAGTTCTCTAAACGACTTATAAATTACTAACCATATATCATTGCTCATATCAAGCTATGTAAATAAATAACAAAATACACATGAACACGAAGTATGATAAAAATTAGATAGGACGTTTATTAAAGTCACAATATGAAAATATATTTTTTTCGTTATTACTTCAAACAAATAGAGTGGTTGGAATTTAAGTACCATTCATTCAGTCATTATCAAATACTTCTGCTAGTGAATAAAGAGTTCGATGTACTTCTAGGTGTAGCAGGTCACTTCGTTAGATGGTATTGTTTGAATTATATTGTCTAATTTACAAGATATGTCATAAAAACTAAAATATTTTCGGTGGAATAATAAAGTTTTACCTTATGTTTACGTTTTGTTAATATTGATGATCCTCCTGTAGAATAGTTTTCCAGACACTTTTTGGTCATTCCAATTTACAATAATGAATTGCAGGTTGATTAATATTTATTAGTAAATGTTACCTATAAGTTGAAGTCGTCTTGAGTAGATTGCGTTGAATACAAAATAAGTATCCACCTAAACAATAATATCTCAACAAATATACTAACGCTAAAACCGTCTACTAACTTTAAATTCGCGGAATGTTACAAAAGCCATCTGGGTTTAACATACCGTAAGTCGCATAAGTCACAAAACGAATCAAATAAGCTTGTTTCCTCGAAGTGGTAAAGCATAGTATGCTGCACATATTTGAATGTAAAGTTAACTATATATTACAAAATATTTGCGATCTACGAAAACCTCTGGGATAGGTAACCTTTAAAGTCAGGGAAGCTTTAGTTATTATTACATAGCCTGTTATCAGTGTGGTAACGGATTAAGAATACGGAGTGTCATGAAACTTATTCATCTCGTGGGTGACGTAAAAGCAGCTAAGGGAACAAACTAGCCAGGACAACAGCACTGCAAAGAGAAGGAAAACTTGAAACAAACCCCATACTGACCGGTCTGACCAGCGTTTTATAGTAGGCCCAAACCTCTTTTCCAAAGAAGAGGCCTATGTCTAGCAGTAGACTACCAAAGGCTGTTGATGATGATAGTGATGAAACAACTGTTAAAAACTGCTAGTAAGTATCTATTGCCCCTGAAGACTATATTTGAAAGCACG